AACAAATGTTGTATGACACTAACTAATGTCTACTCACCCTCATAAAGGACCATACAAAAGACAAAAGTGATAATTTCACCAAAGTCCAATTTGATGACCTAATTAGTTTATTGGGATAACTTACAGTAATGTGGGTGACACAAAGGCAGTTGTATTACTGATAACCCACCACAACAGAGGCAATGACTCACAAAAGCTTAAACCTTGGGGCTATTTGCACAATTTAAAGGTAGCTCAACAGGTTGGAAAGTATGCCCTTAGTAATCCTACTGCCTATTAATTTTGGGGAAGAGAAAGCTTCATGTATCTGGTAAATTTTAGGGAATTTCTGAGACTTATGAGTTCTCTCACTGAGTCTAAACAAACTTCCCTTTGCAACTTCTTTAGTTTGAAGGTGCTTGCTCAGAAATGAAATGTTTGATTTCAGAGGAAGTTTCTCTAGAGACTCGGAAACTTAACGACAAGAGTGTTTGTCTAGCAGAATCAAGGCCTGTCCAGGAACTAGCATTGGAAACAAACAAAATAAATTTCTAACACAGCAGCAAAGTATTTCCGTACATTAAGTAGAGGAGTTTGGTTTTATCCACAGAAAAGAACAACAATAACAACAAACACCAAGACAGAAAGGTGAGACAGACTATTCATTTCAAAGTTAGTTTCCTTTCATAGGACAGAAAAAGAAATTGGTTATATCAAGTTCCTGTGGGTTACTTGCTCTGTGAAAGAATTAAGGCCCAGAAAATGTTATTAAAATGTGACCTGTTTAGAAATCTGGCTATCTCTCAGGTCTGAATTGCTAAGCTTAGATAAGAGATTGGTTTCATCTGGATGACTTGAAACATGAATGCGATTTCAGGTCTGGCTTATTGGAAATGTAGGAGTTTTACCCAAATCGATGGTTTTTAACTTAAGTTTTGTTCATTGTGTTTGTAAAAACCAACCAAACAAACAAACAAAATGCAGGATTTCCTTTTATCTTTCTTACAAAGAGGTTCTGGGGGAGAAAATATATGCAAATTTAATGTAACAATAATTGTTAACAACTTCAAAGATGTTTCTTCTCTATATATTTTACTGCATTGTTTTCTCTCTCTCTCTCTCTCTCTCTCTTTTGTGTGTGTGTGTGTGTGTGTGTGTGTGTATGCATGTCTGTACATATATATTCTCAGATGGAAGCCAAGGCCTTGCATGCAGTAGACAAACACTCTATCATCATGCTATGCTTCCAGCTCAATTGAAACTTTTGTTATTCTTTCTTATATTGAATCATAGGAAACTTAAACTGTCTCCAGAAGACGATATGGTTTAAATATCATGAAATAATTAAAATAACAGTGAAGTATAGAAAAAGTCAAATTACTTTTCATTACTTGTTAAGTTATCTACATATATCATAAGCAGACAGACATGTCTTATTCTGGCCATTGTTGGATCATTTATTTACTTAAAATCATAGTATTTAGTTTAGTATAAGATTCTTCATAAAAAAATTAAAATAGGGCAATGACAGTTATGCATATACATTGGCCCTAGAGACAACAGGAAAAGAGACAGTGAAAAGCCATATTTATTCAGACATAAAAAAATTCAATTTTGAATATGAAGAAAAACTATTAATAAAACATTTTACATAGCGCCAACAATTCTACAACACACGGCACATGGAGTAACTTTCCCTTATAATTAATGTCATATTGTCAAGATGCTAGAAATAGATGTGCTAGAGAATATTCTTAGGATTATTATTAAGTCTACTTCCCTTGGATACATAAAAATCACCAAGGGCTAGATGCATGGGTTTAAGCTTATAACAATGTAATATGAACATATTTGCTTTCTGAAAGCTGTGGTTGACCATCAGATGAGCAATGATCCCCAGGTGATCTGCCTCAACTGCCCCAGACCCTCCTCCATGTACTGGCCCTCTCTACAGGCCATAGAAATTTTCGACTGAAAAAGTTCCTTGGGACTTTGCCTAATTACAGTGCTGACATCAAATGCACAATAGCATTTGCACCTGCTTAATAAAGTAGAAAGAAGATGATATGACAGTCCAAGTGGGCTCTCCTACCAGACGGTAAGGAGCTTGGGGACTTGTGCTTCTCAGATTGCAAAAACCTTGAAATTATATTGGGATTAGAGCGACAAAGAAGGAAATTGGTTATGAACCTGGGTCTCCCATATTTGATTTATGGGGACTGTTATAAAACAGTGCTTCCAAATGTAATTCTGAACAAAAATCATTCTTATCTGTGAGACTTTGGGTTAGTTCTATTTTCATATCAGATTTCAAGTTGATATAATGAAGAAAACCCACAGTAGATTTCTCATCTGGTTGCTAAAAGGGCTGTGTGAAATAATACGAGTTGCAGATTTCAAAGTGTCGGTGCACTTCCTGACCCGAGTCTGTAAGGGTTCAGCTCGCTTTAGGTTTCCAGGTGTGGCCATTTAAAGACTTCTAGAATGTTAAAGTATTGATGCAGGGTAAAGTTTCCCTAAATGTTACCTTGCCAGGCTTCAACACAAGAAGGCAGTGCTTGCATTTAGTTGCAAAAATAAACAAGCAGGGAACATCCACTTCAGATGAAGCAACTTCAACTTTGACATTTATCAAAACAAACAAACAAAAAAAAATCACAAGTGGTCAGCTCAAGAGGAAGAGCCTTCCGAGTCTTGAGCATTCAGGAAGCTTTAAAAAAGCTGTGCTCTGAATAATTTTAGGTCATGATGTTTCTTCATTAATTCAAAGAAGGCTCTTAGGACCAGAAAGGGAACAAGGAGAGGCAACTTGAAAGAGTTTCATTTAACTTGAACAATCTAATCTCTTAGATAATATTGAAATATTGTAGAACAGTGCTTTTTTTTTTCCATAGGTACAACTTGAACCCATGAGGTCAATTAGGAAAGCTTTCTTTTGAAAATAGACTAGCAATCAGTTCAATTGGTATTGCTCTGATGTTAAGAATAATTTACTCTTAAGTGCCTCTAGTTATAATAACAGTAAACATTTATCTTAGTGTTTTAAGACTTTAATACGAGCATCGCTTTTGCATATACCTGGGTATGCAATGTTAAAATAGGTGAATCCTGTCTTTGGACTGGGCTCAGCAGTAGGTTAAAATGGCATTTGGTGAAGTGCTCTGGTGAATTTCATATGAAGTGGTCAAAGTTGGTATAATGGGCTGGGTGTTAATAATCACCCAAACCAGTGAGAGACTACTGACAAATAATTGTTTCAAGAATGCAAAGGGAGGGAAGGAGAAATGCCACAAGAGTAACTCAGACCATTACCATTTCGTTACCATCACATTTTAGGTCCTCTAAAATGAATAGTGTATCATGCGACAGACCAATATTTCATAGAAAGCAGTAGTTTTAATCAATATGTAATACTTAAGCAAAAATAAACGTCTGAGTTTCTCAATAAAAGCTTGTCACTAATTTCTTCCATTTCTTTGTTTTCATCTAACAACTACTTAATTTTCTTACAGTTATTATTTGTTTTTAAATGTTCCCCCCATTAATTCTGCTCTCTTACCATATTCTTTTCTTCCTTTTTTTCTGTTCTACATTCTGCATTAATTTTTTTAATAAGTGGTTTTCACAATAAATACTTGCAAATAACAGAGACTCAATCACTTGATCAAGACAGATGCCATAGGATAGAGTTTTACTTCAGAAGGAACAGCAAAGCAAAAATGGTGCAGTGTAAAGAAACAGCTAGGATAAAGTTGATAACATTCATTTTAATACCATAGTTCAAAAGGTTCTTTTGTGGAAGAGAAGGCATATGACATTATCTGCGATATAAGCTTATAATAGCCATTTTTATGTCTAGAGATGTAGAAGGAGTTTGTTTACCTGGAACCTTGATTTCAGACCCGCCCCCCCCCGAAAACGACCAGGGTTGTCTTCTAACACCCACCACTTCTTCACCAATTGTACAAGTACAGGCGAATGGCTATGTGAATATATGAAATCATCAGTTAAACACTCATTTCCAACTACCTCACTCCAAAGAAACTTACCCTGGAGTTCATTAAACTTATTATTCCATTGACTTCTGTGTTTCTAAACTGAACTCCATCACAGGTGTGCCTTTAAGTAAACAATGGAATACCACCATATTTTTTCTAGTAACGTTATGAACTTTCTGAAGGATATTTTCCTCATCTTTGGTGAGGAAATTATTCCCCTAAAATAGTTCCAATTTTGTTTTTCTGTTTTTGTTTGTTTGTTTGGTTGGTTGGTTGGTTGGTTTTTTAACATCTGGAAACTTGAATCACAGTAGGTGTGAGAGCTCTCTGAGTTGTCAAGTCCCAAGCGTAGGCCCTGTCTCCCATCTGCTTCCAGTTCTCAAACCTTGGGGATCAGGTCCCATGGTGAATTTTGAGTATGTTTTTATCAGACAGTACACATTTATATTGTTGCTTTCTCCCTGTGAATGAGTAAATCATAAAGGTGTTTAAGCTGTGATATTTTGCCTTGAAGCTCTTTTGTTTTGACCACTATGGGCAATCTCACTGTGGGAACTGTGAAATATGTTTGGCAGCGCTGACTTCTCTTACTAATAGTGAACTTTAATTTTATATTGAGAACAACTAGCTTTAAAGATCTGATTAATCTTAATATCATTTAAAGTTCATTTTCAAGATACACACACACAAAAAGCACTTTTTGGTGATTTTGCAAACTGATAATAGGATAAATTCCCCTGAGATTTCAGGTCATAGAAAATGATTATTATTTTGGCTTTCTTATTTATAACAACAGAAGAGGAATACAATTTTTATCTCTGTCTACATGTACATAAGTCCAGGTATAATTTGATGAATGGATCAGGTGGGGAAACCTCCATTTTCATAATGACACCTCAGTATGCCCTTATTTCTAATAACAATGATACGATTGAGTAAAGTCCCAGCCTTATTTTTCAACTACATTCCAAACCAACTAGAGAACCTCAAGTATGATCTATTTTTTTAATGATTATTTTACAGGAGCCCACGAGAAAGAAATAGTTCTAATGAATGCTTTGACTGTAAATTTACATCTTCTACTGGTAAGGTTCTTTCCCACTTGTGCTTTGAGTTCTCTCATTTGATAGTCTGCTGTGTTTCTACCTCAAATTCATAAACTTCTGGTAGGATATTTATTCCAAGATGGCATGTGAGATTATTTATTTTTGGCAAGAATGCTAGACCATGATCTCATGGTTCCTTCTTAAACATGGAAGAGTTGCCTCTAAAGACCTTTAGAGTAACGAGTTATAACAGAGTAGAAAGAAAATAGTAATGGTACTTGATATAGAAAATTGCTCAGCAAGAACACTTACAAGCAAGCACTGAACCTCTCAGAAAGGACATTTTCCTTACGTTGACAAAAAAAGTTGGTTGTTTCTGTCATTAAGCTAAAATGTACCCTCGGTAGTAGAACTCAACCCTGTCAAATATATTTCAGTCTTATAAAGTTGTGGTTGATCATAGTTATTAAGACAAAAGAGCTGCATGGTAAAACGCCACAGATTAAGCACCTTTGAAGTTTAGTCATACACAGAGGGGGAAAAACAAAGTAAATGTTATAGTCTGATGGAAACATACAAGAGTATGTTTTGAATCATGTCTAAAAGCTCAAACATCCTCAGTTGTGACTCCCAACTAAGTTACTTATTGTCTCTTTAATGTTGATTAAACCTTTCAGTGTCTCTGAGAATTGGAATTACCCTTTGTAATAATGAGGACAACAGTGTCTTCCTCATAGATGTGCAGGAACCAATAAGGTAATATGAGAAAATTAATTTAGCACCCTGGCCAATGATGAGCATCCTGCTGACAGGTGTTGTCATCTGTATTGGAAGAGGTGTGAAGTGTATTGTCCAGGGGCTGCCTGGAGAAACGAAGCGGCCAGTGAACCAGCAGCATACTTCTGGCTGGTGCCTCTCAGAGGGGTCTTATGCACATTTAGCTGGACCTAAACCAAAACGTTATAAAGCAAACTACAAGATGAGGGAAAAGTGATAAAGGGAACCAAGTTGGCAATGTAAGATATGTAAATAAGACATGCATAGAACAAGCTATTTCACTCTCACTCTAGAGAAATTACCTTTAAATGCTTAAGAAGATAAATTTTCAATTAACATTTAGGTAAAGCTTTAGAATTTGTTTTTATCTGCTTCACATTTTCCTCTGAGTTTGTTTTCCATTGATAAATGTAATGAGCCAATATCTTCACCCTCTTCATAATTCACTGGAAAGTAGGCTAATTGAAAAGGTACCCCTGTCAGTTATCTCGCATGTTTAATTAATTAACGTCTTTAAAATGTTAGCGCTTATAAAGTGAAAGTGTGGCATAAAGGAGCAAATGAGTAAATTCTGCATTAATGCTTCTCAATAACTCTGTTTCGTTGTAGTTATCATTCTTTAAGCCTACACCAAAGCGGCACAAAATTCTTCTAGAAGCCAAGGCCTTCCCTTCTGATCATGTAAGGATTTCTTCAAATTATATTTATGTTCTTTCTACTCTTCCTAGAGGGACATATCATTTCCCTGATTTGAATGTTTATTTGCTAGTCATTTCCAAGTAAACTGAGTAAGAAAGATCTGTCAAGTGCTTTTGATTTAAGTATATTTTTCTTCATAGTAGATTTATTTCTTTTGTTCAAGCAAAACGTGTTCAGGGAGAAAAGGACTGAATGGGGACATTGATTTATTAGTCTTTTTAAAGATATTGAGCAAATCGCTGCCTAAATCAAGTGTGTTTAGAAATGTTTTATTAATTCTTGTTGCTGTATTATTTTATGAAATCAAATCAATACAAGCTCCACTGTTTAACCCTTTAGCAACATTAAATTCTCATATAAACTTGTATCTGTACCTCTTTGTCATAGTATGCCAGCAATACTTATTGATTTCTTTCTATGAAGAAATACTAAAGATTACAAAATGCCAATGCAGGGAGATGGCTAAGCCAGGAAAGAGCTTGATGAACAGTCATAAGGACCTAAGTTGTAATATCTGCCACCCACAAAGAAAGCTGAGTGTTGCTTTGTGGACCTGGAGTCCCAGCATGGGAGACAGAGGGACAAGCGGATGCTTACGGCTTACTGGACAGCCTGTCTCTTTTGGCCATAAGTCCCAGTGTCAATGAGAGGCTCTGTCTCAAAAATGAGGCATAGAATAATCAGGAAGGACCCTTGACATTGATCAATGGCTTCTATGTCTTCGTGAGAACACACACAGGAAAATGTACACATACATAAACTCCTGAGCACAGCGAAGATTAGAGGATATTTATGTGTGTGTTTCACTCAGATAATGATTCTTCCTGATCCATACACAGATAAAACCTTGTCGTTTCATTTTAAAGAAACTTGACACATATCTTTTTGATTATTCTATGCCACATATTGTAATTTTTAAAATAATTTTATTTTCTGTGCATTGGTATGAAAGTGTCAGAATCCATGGAACTGGACTTACAGACAGTTGTGAGCTGCCATGTGGGCACTGGGAATTGAACCCAGGTCCTTTGAAAGAGCAGACAGTGCTGTTAACCACAAAGCCATCTCTCCAGCCCACATATTGTAATTTTAAAGCATGTAATTCTATTAGGCCAATAAATGGTTATTTTTCTTAAAAAAAAAAAAAAGATTAAAATCTTGCTATCTTGATGACAATTCCAAATCCTCTTACTTATTGAATCGAATGTGTATCTTATCTTCTCCATGGAGTTTTAAGTGTGGTCCTTTTTGCTTCCTGGCTCTTCGTGTGCTGAGCTGTTTTTGTATTCTAACTCAAGCCCAGCACTTCAGACTCCTCTCTTTGGTTATTTTACAAGGCCCAGCTGTGCCTCACACTGCGTGGGTTTTACTGTAAAGCTTCCCTGGGTTCTAAAAGCTACTTTGCACTTTTGATTGCCTTTCATGTGCCATACTTCAGTAAGTGCCCCAATTCCTGCTCAGTCACATTAAGAAGGAACTCTCTGAAGCAGTGATCCACTCTACCTTTGACATGTGGTTTACTCTAACGTGATGGCTTTATTGTTACTTTTTAATTTATTTTCAGAGGGGATTCTTTAATGCACTGCTATGCTTTGGCTTAAGTTAATGAATACATTTTCCTTTTCAGTATGCCATTGAGTCACAGATTCAATTTCATGGGCTTGATGTTGAGAAAAGTATGCGGATGATAGAACCAAGAGAGGTAGGTATCTGAGAAAACAAATGTTCGTTATACTTCTACTTAATATCCGTTTATTTCTCTCCATTTTTCAAAAATTTATCTTCATGGTTTGATGTAACTTTCAAGAAAGCATAAGAGACCAGTGCATTTGTTATTGTTAGATTCTTTGTTTAGACAGAGAATAAATAGGAAGTATGTTTATTTTTTATTTTCAAAAGCTTGATACATGGCAAGATACTTTTCTTTTTATAGCAATGGTGTCTATAGTGGTCGAGCAGGTGAAAAGGAGATTACAAATTGAGTATAACACTTTTAATTCAAATGTAGTTGCTGATGGGTCCCGTTAAATTCAAAGACTAGTGATCAATAGGGAATTGTATAGAGACTGTCTTTTATATTCTTTTGTAAAGTCTCAAATATTTTGTTGTATTTAAACTCAATAAGTTGGAGAGTCTGGGATTCCAATGTGTTTTGTAATCAGCATGAAGGATTAATGATAAAAGATTCTCACATCTGTAAGAGGTATCTGTTTTCACATTTGCTATATAAACGGTTAGTCCCCAAGATTCACTGTTACAGATGACCAGCATTTTATTCTTTGGGTCCACTCTAGATAGTCTTTTGCATTACTGGAAAGCTTCAAGTCAACATAAATGAGAGATTTATCATAAAATAAATAAATAAATAAAATAAACTTTTATTTCTTATTTGATTCGTGGTGATTCTTTAGATAAATTATGTGTTAGTTTCTGTAATACACTTATTAATCTGATTTTTAAATTGTAGTTGTCAAACTGTATTAGAATTTTAACAGAGTTTTAAGTCGCCAATTCTCTAAGTAGAATTTTTCTTATAATTACTAAGTTCTTTTTTTGTGTGTGTAAAAAGTATATTTCCAATGAAACAGATTTCTCTATCAATGTGTTTCCTATTTGGTAAACAGCACTTTTCTTTTCTGATAGACACTGCACACACACAGACACACAGCCCTACTCATCCATACAAGTCCTCTTACATGAAACTTGTCTAATAGAAAGAAATTTGAAAACTTAAACAGAAGGATTGTATAGGATTATTTTAAGGAGTGTTCCTTAACTTTAAGGAAATTGCATGTATGGGCTCCCAATTTGTGTTCTATCTACAAGAGAAGACGTGTGGGAAGTTGTATGTACATTAGACCTGCTCTCCTTAAGCAGGCACTTCCTGTTTGAAGGATCCCTTACATCTCATTACTGTTCCAAGACCGAATCTCACTTCATTGACAATTATAAATCATTAGTTGAGGTGAGGAGGTTAGGCTTTGTTCTTGATTTTTTAGTTTGGTCTGCTTTCTTCACATTTGTCTTTATCTTTACATTATTGTGGAAAAGATTAAATTTTAAACTAATTGAAACATCACTTGGGCAAAAGAAGTGTGATTTTTCATTGGAAACCTTGACAAGTCCAACGTGCATCTCCAACTTTGCTGTGGAGTATTGCATGGACTTCTTGAATTTTTTTTTTTTTTTTTTTTTTTTTGGATAAAGATCATGGGAAAACTATTAACAGGTTTGTAAATAGTGAAGTTAATTGAAAACTGAATTAGAAAGGCCCAAGTCGGACTGTGCAGACTGGCAGCTAAGTGAAACATTTTACTTTTTATTTCTTAGTAACAGAATGCATCCCCATGCTACTCTTTTGCCAGATTTTGGAAGAACATTGGCATGGAGAAGCACAGTTACCTCTCATTGCCTTATGTAGGAAAGATTCTTGTGGAAATGGAGTGACACGTTTGTTACTGTGTAACTTTCCCTGAATTTGACTTAGGGGGAAGAGACCTTAAGGATGGAGGACATACTTGAAGTAATTGAGGAGGAAGGAGACTCCATCGCCGTGATCCTGTTCAGTGGAGTGCATTTTTACACTGGACAGCTCTTTGACATGCCTGCCATTACAAAAGCTGGCCAAGCTAAGGTAGAGCACTCTTCCCCCACTTACCACCTTCCCAGGCCGCGCTCTGCCCAACAGGGCTCCACCTTCATTACTTGATGTGAGCTGGGAATTTTTTTCTTTGAAAGTCTAAAACATAGTTTTGTTTGTCTCTTTGTTTGAAGATAGGGTTTCTCTGTGCAGCCCTGGCTATCCTGGAACTCACTCTGTAGACCAGGCTGGCCTTGATCTTAAAGGTCTTCCTGCCTCTGCCTCCCATGCGCCGGAATTAAAAGTGTGTGCTACCACCACCTGGACAAGTCTTAAATTTTGAAACATTACATTATATCAATGGTGCAACCTCATTCCTAATAATGCCATATTTGTGTGGGTTTCTAGAGTCCAGAATAAGCTAATTTTTCACACATGATACAGCTCTCAGACAGCGGAAGGGTGATAAGATATTGAGGGTCTTCAGGACATGCAAAGACTTTTAAAAATCCCAGTTCAGTGTACATTGTCATTCTAAATGTAAGCCAACTCTTCCTTAAAGCTAGGTACTTGTAGGTAGGAAATATAGACTCTAGTAGCTTGTGGAGAGTTATCAGTAAAATGAGTTCTTCCCATTTGACTTTATTTTTTCTAATTATATTTTAAAAGAAAATTTGTTTGTTGCTCCATGCAGCACATCTTCAGCTTCACGGACAGACCTGGTTGGGGAACAAGGTAATGAAGAAAATGCAGACACAGAGACAGAAAAGCTGGGACTGGGTGGTCTGGTTTCTTGTCTGGAGAAACAGAACCCCCTCACCCAACTCAGCATGTTTAATATTGAAGTTGAACATGGATGGGGGGGGGGCTATTGCATACAGCTAAATTAAGGAAGACAGTGGGTGGCTATATGCTGATAAAGGAGACAGGGTTTACCGTGAAAAGGTGGATTGAGGAGACAGGCTTAGCTAATCTCTGTAGAAGCGGTCTGTGTAGGGTTGCCGACATAAGGCTGTGAGTATCTGGGATTGGCTGTGGTGCGGGAGAAAACTAGCGTGGACATTTCTGCACAAGCTGTCAATATATGTACACAGAATAGAGGCAAGAGCTTTGCAATTTCCCTTTGAGCCTGGCCTCAGGCAGAAGGCTTTGCTATTTTCTCCATGGGCCAGAGGGCATGGAGTCCTTGACATGGCTGCAACTATGCCAATCAAACACATCTACCTGGAACTTAACTCACCCGGGCTTCCTCTGCTCCCTTTCTTAGTATGTGTGTATGTGTGCAGACGTGTGGTGTGGTGCTTGTGCAGGAGACAGGACAGCTCAGGGAGCTCTCTCACCATATGGGTCCTGGGGATTGAAACTCAGGTCATCAGGCTGAGCAGCAAGTACCTTTATTAGCTAAGCCATCCCAAGAGACTTATTTTATTTCTAACTATCTTCTAGCTTTATAATACTGCCTAGAGCAGAAATATTTGTCTCCTCATATATTATTAACTCAAAATTAAATAATTTTATCTGAATATCATGTCTCTTTGTATATGAGTAAGTACTTTAAGATTTAAAAAAAATGATTTTGGCCTATAAGAAAGAAATCAACTGGAAGAAAAATTCAATAGCCGTACATTGTATTTAAAACCCTAAGTAGCAGTTCTGTTTGATTATGCAATCAAGCTTTGTATTAATAAAGGTGACAATTGAATTTTATTCTGAGCATTAATAAGTTATAGGATTACTATATATGTGAGATCCAGCTAATATATGCAGTTATTGAAGCTAATGAATGGAACTAATGAAAAGAAATTTAACACCGTCTTCAGTGGTCTCTAGGAATTTCCGAACCAGGACTTCCAGCTGGTTTGATGGATAACTGTGAGAGTGGTGCATTCCAAAAGATATAAAGATAATGTCTTCTTAATTTAGATATTAAATCTTAAGCACCAAAATAAAGGGAGGCCAATAAAACTTGTGTTTTAAAATGTTGTGCAAGTAATCGACAACCATGTTCCCTCACTATGCAAGCATGTCGCATTAACCTTTACAGGAATGAGACTAAGGACGGAGAAGAATGATCGTGAGTTTGTCATCATACAGTTAGGGTTCACATGCTGGCTGGGTGAGCGTGTGTCCCCAGCAAGCAACTTGGCTTCCCTGAGCTTCCGTTTCAAAAGTGCTAGTTCATAATAGCAGCATCTCCCTCATGCACTCAGAGTAAAGAATGACATGGCTGCCCCACCTTCTGCTGTTCAGCAGCGAACCTCCCTGCCTCCACTCTACTCAGTGAATATGAAATTATGGGAAATGTCTCAGAAATGGACTTTATTTACCATTAAAAATTAAAATAAGGTTTATATAAAGAGATTGCTTCTCATTTAAGAGCACTTGCTGATACTGTAGAGGACCCAAGCTTGGTTCCCAGCATCCACATGGCTGCTAACAGCCATCTGTAACTCCAGGTGCTGGGATTCAATGCCTTCTTTTAGCCTCTGAGGCACCAGGTATAAACAGAATACATATACATATATGCAAGCAAAATACTTAAAACACTCAAAATATAAATAAAAATTTTAAAAATCTTGAAAAATAAATGTGCTCACAAGCTATTATATTTAATTCTTGTTAAGGGATTAAGTTGGTGAAAGCAGTCTCTAAATGTGCCACCGTCTGTCATTCATTTAACATGTCTATAGAGTCGAATTCTCACGGCACGTTCAGTCAAACAAATGAATGGAAAACTGAGCAGTTTCAATCAAAATGGAACGATGCCCTGGGAATGAACTGGGGACATGGTTGACTTAGATTTACCCATTATCAAATTTATTTTAACAAATGTTTACCCTCTTGCTGTACAATTACTCTCATTCTCAAATGGAGTTGAAAAATTAGGCTAATTTAAAATTAGACTTACATAACTCTCCTGGGTGACCTGTGAATATAAAGCTGAAAAAAGAGACAGGGAGAAAATTAAAGGTGTCAATCAAGAAGGAAATTGACAGTTCTAAGGCGGAGGGGGACTTTAGACTATCACTGTTAGGGCTGAATAAGTGAGGCAAAAGAGAGAGAACTTTCCAGAAATTAAGCATGAGAGCAGCTGAAAGGGACCGTGCACAGAGCAATAAGTATCAATGAGTAGATTAGGAAGTAAAGACTTCAAAATCCTGAGGTAAAACTTTCAAAGTCACATGGTAGGGAAGTGGATACACAAAATTGAAAAGGTATTTTAAAAAATTGCACACATGCCAAAAACACCACAAATCATAAACAACTGGCTTAACGGGTTATGATGTATCTGGTAATTAATTTAAATATGGGTGTATAATTCTCCAAGTCTTGTTAGCAATATGGCTATATTGCTGAGGTATTATGGATGTACCTTCCTGTCATTTCTAGGAGAAACTTTTTCACAACAGATTTCCTGGTCCTCTGGCTCTTACAATCATTTGCCCTTTCATACACAGTGTTCCCTGAGCCTTGGGTGTAAGAGTTGTGTGTATCAACTCGGGCGAGGCACCATATCATCACTTGCCTGCTTTTGAAGAGCTGTGCTAAACTGGAAGAATTCTCAAGGGGGCCCTACTATAGACAAAGGGCTACAGACAACCGCTGAGAGCAGGAGAAATATTCATTATCAGAGATGAGTCCTCTGGTTGATTATATCAACTGGTCAGCCCTGCAATTGTATGTATAAAAGAAACAGTAAGCAAATTGATCATACAGTGTTTATATTTAGGTGTGTGTGTGTATATATATATATATACACACATACACACAAATACGCACACTAATTCCGTATATAAGGGAGAAACAGTTGCACCTTAATTGCCACCCATTGCTCCCATTCTTAATGCTCTCACACTTAATACTACTTAACAGCTTATGAATTTCAAAGATACACTTATTTAGAGAATAGAATTTCCATTCCAAAATTCTCCCACCTTTACCAACATAAGTCACTTTGTCCAATTTGGCACTTGATAGAAGTGCCAAGTGTGTGAATAGATAGACATTTTGTGTGTGGCTTATTGCCATATTGTAAGACTAATTCACCCATTCAATATTTAGCAGAGGTCTTGTTTGTTTACATTTCCATTTTAGGAAAACATGAACAGACATGAAATACAGCACATTTTTTTTTTCATTTGTGTCAGAGTAGATATTTGGCTTTTTCCCCTCTCTTTGATGTCTGTCACTATGCATGCTACTTTGGCTGTTATTAGGAATTACGTAGGGTAAGCCTCCATCACATTGTTGGTGAGTCTGTTTCTTAGGCGTAGGCTTCCTGGGTCATAATCGCCACCACCCGCTTTCTGCAGACTTATGTAAATTTGTTGTACACTCTGAGAAGTATGCATGAGGGCATCTGTTGCCCTGAGCTCCCCAACAAGTGCTCTTACCAATTTTGGTATCAGTTATTCAGTGCCCTGAGTCCTCAAGAGTTCATAATCATTCACAAACATATGGTAGTCCTTGGGTATCTTCTTTTGTGAAAAGGCTTTCTAAAGTTTTCCCCCCATTTACTAATGTTAGTAAACAGTTGTCTGATTGGGTTGTAGGTGGTGTAAAATTAATTGTGAAAAAGAGTAGAATATTAAGTTTTCCATTGATATCAAAGAGGAAATCAAATTCATAGAAGAACAGCTGTTATCACAACTTTGATTTCTCTGATGAGTGTAAGATGCAGAAGTGCTTTTCTTAGCAAGGGGAAGGGCTGAGAATTAGGTGACAAGGTTGAGGAAAATGATACAGAGTAGATAAGATATCACAGGGAAGGCCATGAAGTCTCAAAAGACATCATTTTGAAGGTAGATTTTCATCTATTCTTGGAGCTACATGACTTTCATATTACTGAACAACCTATCTTTCTGAAACTCTAATTTCCATGATATCTCTGATTTTCTTAGTCTGCTGCTTGTTTCTACTAACACGTATTTTCTGTACTAACAACACACAGATGGATCCCCTTAACCTCTACCATCTCCAGCGATTCTAACACTGCGGCTCAACTCAGCCATTGCTGCCAATTGAAAGCTCTGGCTGGCGCCACAATGAAAAAA